TTATGGTGGATTCCATACGGACGTGTTTGTGGTTGCTATTGATGTGATTATTGTGTTGATATATTCGTTGCATGTGTATTTGGAAAGTGTCGATTGTACCGTTCTCGTTGAGAACGGGATTTCCGGGTTCAACCCGGGCTACTCACTAAGCAGTTGTGCTTAGCCCTCGTGGTTTACATTTTTCAGATCACGAGGATTACGCCTAGCGCCTCAGCAGACGACGAACCGAGAGAAGCAGCATCACGTACGGGATTTGTATTTTGAATTAAGGACTTATCGTTTCGGCTTTTGTACGGTTGTATTATGAATATTCGGACATGTGACTTATTGCGATACTAATCGCTTTGTATTTTTCCGCTGCTACTCCGCTTTTAATTGAAAATGTTTTAATGTTTTTGGAATTTTCGCTTCCGCCATTTATTAGTTTATTATTTTACCTTACATCGTCCATGTGGCACAGCCCGTATACTGTACACGGGTTACGGGTGTCACAGACCAAGCCCAAGATCGTCCCCCAACTTAGGTCTTTTCTTGGCCTAGCTAACTACTACCGACGTTTGTGCTTGGCTACTCGTCTATTGCAGCACCCCTCTCGGATATGCTCAAGAAAGACAGGAAATGGGAGTGGACCGAGAAGTGCCAAACCGCATTTGATAAGCTCAAGGCCATCATCTCCGAGGAGTCGGTCATGACCTTGCCCGATGTTGGTAAGCCCTTCGAGGTACAAACGGATGCTTCCGATTATGCTATTGGTGGTGTGTTGATGCAGGAAGGTCACCCAATAGCCTATGAAAGCCGCAAGCTCAATGAGGCCAAAAAGAAATACACGGTCCAGGAAAAAGAGATGACGGTCGTAGTACATTGTCTTCGGATATGGAGACACTACCTCCTAGGAAGCGCGTTCGTGATCAAGACGGTTAACGTGGCCACCTCCTACTTCCAAACTCAAAAGAAGCTCAGCCCGAAACAAGCTAGATGGCAAGATTTCTTGGCCGAGTTCGACTACACCATGGAGTACAAGCCGGGCAAGGCCAATGTTGTGGTCGATGCCTTGTCCCGCAAGCCGGAGCTAGCCAACCTCAATGGGAGCATGCCTAGGACCGATTTCATAACTCGGATCCGTGAGGCTATGTCCCATGACCCAGCAGCCAAGCACCTCCTTGAACTTGTCCGGAAGCACCAAACCCGGAAGTTTTGGGAGCAAGAAGGCATTGTCTTCTCCCGAGGAAGGCGAGTCTATGTCCCGAGGCATGAAGGCATCCGAAAGGAGATCCTAAAGGAGTCTCATGACTCACGGTGGGCTGGACATCCTGGAGAGAAGCGCACTTTGGCCTTAATAGCAGAAAACTACTATTGGCCTCACATGAGAGCCGATGTGGAGGCATACGTCGAGACATGTCTTGTGTGCCAACAAGACAAGATTGAGCAGCGGCTTCCCGCAGGACTTCTACAGCCTCTCCCCATCCCAAACAGGCCATGGGAATCGGTATCTATGGACTTTATCATGAATTTGCCTACAGTTAACAAGTTTGGTGCGATATTTGTGATTGTGGACAGATTTAGCAAGTATAGCACATTCATTCCGGTCACGACCAAGTGTCCAGCCGACGAGGTGGCCAAGGCCTTCTTCAAGTATGTGGTGAAGTATTGGGGCTTACCACGTTCAATCATAAGCGATCGAGATGGAAGATTCACAAGAAAGTTTTGGCGAGAGTTGTTTCAACTCATGGGAACCGAACTCCGCTTCTCCACATCTTTTCACCCGCAGACCGACGGCCAAACGGAGAGAATCAACACTCTCCTAGAGCTCTATCTCCGCCGCTACGTCAATGCAAGGAAAGGGATTGGCCGGATCACTTGGACATGGCGCAATTTTCGCACAATCTCTAAAAGAGTGAGTCCATCAGCAAGTCTCCCTTCGAAGCCGTCCTTGGAAGACAACCGACCACTCCAAGCGGGTTGTCCATATCCTACAATGGCCCTAGCCCAGCGGCCCATGCCTTTGCACGTGAATGGCAAGAAGAGACGGACCAAACATGGCTTTGGCTCCACAAGACCGCCTATCGCATGAAGAAGTGGGCGGACAAGAAGAGACGTCCGCAAGAGTACAACGTGGGAGATCAAGTGATGGTCAAGATCGTACCTCACAACTTCCGAGGGATGCAGGCCCTACATAGAGGATTGACTCGCAAATACGACGGCCCATACCCTATCATTGCAAGGATTGGAAAGATGGCCTACAAGCTACAGTTGCCGGCCTACATCCAAATCCACCCCGTCTTCCATGTAAGTGTCCTTAAGCCTTATAAAGCTGACCCTGTTGATGTTGACAGGAATCGGTCCACAAGAGCCCTCCTTCCCGAGGCCATTATGCCACACAAGGAGCCCGAATTCATCCTAGACCATCGCACCAAGCGAGGAACCAACAAGCGAGAATTTTTCATCAAGTGGAAAGGGCTGCCAGATTCTTTGAACACGTGGGAAGAGGAGGACAAATGTGGCCAGTTCACGGACATGGTCCAATCACGCCCGTATGGAGTCCACCATAGGGCTTAGCTGTATACCCTGGTCAAGTCCATGACCAGGGGCGAATCCACGTGTGAGGGAAAAATAGGTAAATTTTTCGCACTTTTACCCTTGTCCATTTTCCTCGTCCATTAGTTATTGCAGGCACAAGTCACGGACGAGTCAATGGCCAAGACATTGCCGAGAAGCCTCTTCAAGCTTCAAGTGGGTCACGGACCACGGACGACTGCGGACGACCAGGCCACGACCCAAGGACACTCTCCCCTCATCCCAGAACCTACCCAGCATGTGACCAAGACCGAACCAGGCCGGAGTCTCACTTTGACCCGAGACAACCTTGTAAGGCCCGAATATGGCCTATGGCGAGTACTTAGGCGTGTTCGGCCTTCTCTTGTGGTTTGGGCTCCGGCCAAAGCCCATTTTTCCTTTCTAGAATGTTCTAGGATAGTTTTAGGCAGGTTGGGTCGTGTCCTTTTTCATTTTAGGCAAGTAGGGACAATAAGGAAGAATGAGGGAACGAAATATGTGAACTTTCCTTTTTCGGTGTTACAGCCAGTTCCTAATAAAAGCCAAGGCTGGCCGAATAGGAAAGGCATCTCGTGCAACCCTAATTCTCCCCCTTTGAGTCCCGAAACCCTGTTGTGCGCCGACTTGCTTTCTTGGCCTTGGATCACCGCCGTTTGGCTCACAAACCATCGCCGGCGACCAAGTCCTCCTTTGTACCAAGTTGTACGCCTCCTGTAACCTTTTTCCTTGATTAATAAAACTCTCGTCGTACCGCCGGCGTTCCTCTCCTCCTCCTCGGACCATATCTCCTCCCCAAAGGCTTAGCCAAAGCAACCGAAGCTCTTCCAAGGACCCAAGACGTGTCCGAGACCTTCCCAAGCCTAGGCTGCTACACGTGGGTTCTTAGATCACTTTCTAACCCCGTGACACATGCCCGTCACTCGCATGACATTGGCCATCGCATCGCATGCGATCGTGCGCGTCTCCTGCGCTTGTCACTCTCGTGACTACCGATGTCAAGTCCATGACACAACGGAAATACAATCATACCCGTATGGAGTCCACCATAGGGTCCAGCCATATACCCTAGTCAAGTCCATGACTAGGTGCGAGTCCACGCCCGTCAAATCCATGACGTTGGCCGTCGTGTCGCACACGACTAAAAAAACGCGTCTCAAACGCCCGTCAAGTCCATGACGGTGATGGTTGAGTCCACAACCATCCACAAACACAATCACGCTTAACTCGTACGCACGAGCAAGCTACACACATGGCACACAACGTGCAACATCCCCATAGTATAACCATACGTATCACGGTATCCGGTCCTTACCGAGCTACCGTTTAACGCCATGCAAATTCTACCCGCAAACAATCACGCAACGATTACTCATATATCGATATCGCACATCTCACTACGCTACGCAACGTTCTGGCGAAAACTCGGTTCGATTGATCCCAATCGCGAAGTCTTGTCCTCTGGTGGGGGTTTGGTTCGCCCACGGTCAAGTCTGGTCAGGCCCGGGCCAAACCCGTTGGCCGTTTCCTTTTCCCCGGTCGAAATCAGATTTTTCTCCCATTTTTCTCGGAGCCTGGTCCGGCGGACCAAATTCTGGTCAGCCGGACCAGTCTTCTTTCTCCTCTGGTCCGCTCCGTCTCTTGGTCAGTCGGTACACACTCTCACGGAGTACGTCTGGTCCGGCGGACCAGAACTGGTCAGCCCCGGACCAGACTTCTCTTTCTTTGGTCCGTCTCTCTTTGGTCAGACGGAGTGTCCTTTACTCCGACACGTCTGGTCCGGCGGACCAGGACTGGTCAGCCCCGGACCAGACGTGTTATTCTCTCGGTCCGTCGTGCTTTCCCTGGTCTGGCTGACTGCACGTGTATTGTTCCAGTCTCGGTCCAGAGCTGACCACAGTGTGGTCTGGCTGACTGAGCGTGTATTGTTCCAGTCTCGGTCCAGAGCTGACCACGGTGTGGTCCGGCGGACCGGGACTGGAACTCTCTTCTTCCTCGCCATTTTCGAGTTTTCTCTCGAGTTTTCTCCTCTGTTTCGATTTAGGGTTGCTTCCAGATGCTACTAAAACTTAGTTTTACATCCCTAGACACGTTCTAAACCTCAAACACGCAATGAAATCTCGATTTGGGCCATCACACATTGAAAACAAGATCTCACAAATCCAACTCAAGCCACTCACCTTGTTCTTGAGCTTTGGTGAGTTTGTCTGAGTTTGTGTGCGTCCCGTGTGACTCCACACGGCGTGAGAAGCTCCAGGGAACGTCTGGGCACGTCCCTCTTGGTCTCCTCGAGCTCCTTTCTCTCTGGTTCGTCTCCTTTCTCTCCCTTTCTCCCACTTTCTCTTCTTCCTCTGTTCTCTCCGAAAATGCCTAAGTCCCAGCTTTGTGAGATCTTTATGGCGCAAGCTAGGGAGTTTGTGGGCTCAAACCCAAGCCCATAGACGGAGCCTGCAACGTCCTCGAGGCATGGGAGGCGACTGGACGGCAAGTGGGCCCCAGAATCCGGCGAAAACCGCGTCCCAAGACCGCAAGTTGGCAAGTTGCAATCTGTCGATTCCCAGTCCGCCGGACCAACCTCCTATGTTGGTTGAGTGCTCTATGATGTACTGTTTATGAGCTTTATTTAGATACATTTGATGTATTGATACTTTCTATGGTTTATGAGAGTATTTGATTCATTACATGTTCTTGCATACTAGATGTGTTATGAAATCCATGTATCATTATGAATGATACTTAACTCCCTAGTCTTGTGTCATTATGGGAATGATGACATAATAAGACTAGTATGATGTGTGATTGATGATCACATAGATGATCATAGATATTTGGATATGATCACAATCATAGGTATTCGTTGGAGAACGGAATACTGGATTGACCCGCATGAGATTGTCACATGGACTAGCGTCATGACTTGAATCTCATATGACGGTTCCATGATTGGATCCTAAGACCTGAGATATCTACGGAATCCAACATGAGGAGTTGCGTACATAGGTACGAAATGAATCATGTGCTGGATTGTAGATAGTCAAGACGGGATTTGTACCTCTCGTAAAAGAGAGAGATATCGCTGGGCCCCTCGTGTGAGCGAGACTGTAGAAATGTGTGGCCGCACTATAGACGAACGTCGTCTATTTCAGACAGTCGAACTCAGTGAACGAGAAAGCAGTCGAATCAGATAAGGTGGCTTGTCCATGCCTTATATTCGACATATGATATCGTGATACAAAAGGATCATCAAACGGAATCATCGCTGGCGTTCGTAGGATCATGAACAAACTCTATTCGAGATAGGCAGTCATAGTGTCTTGCTAGAGACTGCCTATGACTTGTGTAACCGAAATAAGAGATTTCGTGTTATACTGCTATATCGGATGAGCCTACAGGATCACACACACAGGAAAGGAAGAATGTGCGAGAAGAGACGAGAAAATCCCGGTGGAGCGGAGGTCAGACCGACCGGTCCAGAAGGTCTGGACCGATCGGTCCAACTAACCCAGATCGATCGGTCTAGACGTAGACCGATCGGTCCAGAGGTAACGTGTGAGGTCCAGAAATTATTCCAGACCGATCGGTCCAGACTTGGACCGATCGGTCTAGACGTTAAAAAGCTCCAGACCGATCGGTCCAGGTTTGGACCGATCGGTCTAGACGTCGGGATTTACTAAACTCGCTCTAATTAGAGTTTTAATGTGGGGAAACTTAGGAGAACGCCACCCAACTCTTTTGGCGATTTTCAGACCCTAGAGAGAGGTTTGGAGAGTGAGAAAGCTAAGAGAAAGATCCCTGAAACCCTTGCGTAAAGAAGAAAGCGTTCTTCAGTCCTAGCAGACATGTTCCAACCGTTGGAATCCTTTCCGCCGTGTGGATACGTGTAGAGGGCAAGGTATTCTTCCTGCCTACAGTGATTAGACGCGTTCTTCGATTGATACAGGCCCCGGATCAATTGAGGTAAGCGTTCTAACGTTTCTACAAGATCATGCATGATAGGTTTTAGGGTTTCATCAAAATTTTTGTTTTTCATCCGCTGCGCAAACCCTAGAACTGATATCTTAGGAATTAGATTCGCTCTTGAGATCCCAGGAAAACCCAACATCCTGGTCTGCCGGACCGGACACACTTTTATTTTTTTTTCGAATTTTTCCCCAGTCTGCGCTGTCCAGTCTGAGTCCGCCTGAGCAGGTTGGTCTGCCCCGGACCAAATTCTGGTCCGGCGGACCAACCCTGTTTTCTTCTCTTTCTGTTTTTTTATTCTTCCCGCACGTGACGATCCTCGTGCCTCTCCCCGACATTGTACTATTCCATTTTTGGTGATTTCGCGACATCTCTATTTAATTATTTATTTTTAAAATAATTAAATATTCGATTCGGGTTTCGTGGTATTACATGTTATCCCTATAAAACGCTGAAAACGCTTAAAGAAGTATTAACACAGGATGAATGGATGTACTTCGAGAAAGAATCACAGTTCCAACATCTATTCCACGCCAATGGGAACCACAGTTAAAGATGGCGCTTGTGGGAGTCCTCATTAAGCGCTGATCCGTTATTGTGGACTCTTTCGTATTTTATAAACTTATTATTTATTGTGAACTCATTCGTAGTTTGTAAACTCAGTTTTTGTAAACTCTTTCAGATTTTGGATTTTACTTTTACTTGGAAATGAGAAAAAAACATAGGTCCAATGGGTCACATGGGTCACACGGTCACACGGGTCATATGAGTCACGGGTCACATGGGTCACTTGGGTCACATGGGTCGAATTTATCGAATTAATGACTTGGCATGGTTATGCAGTAATTAATCATGGATTTTAACATCAATAACAACTTTAAAATCATGTTCGTTTCAATTTTCATATTGAAGTCACTCATGCAAATGTACTCCATAAGTGATACTAGTGTTTCATGACAACTTTAGAACAAATCGTACTAATGTTCATACAACTCCTACTTATGTTAACGAATTTAACTTGTAGATACCATATTGTCATTGTAAAATATCATATAAACCATTTCCATCCTTTAAAATCGAGATTTGACTGTGTTTTATAAGTGTCATTGAGTCACGGATCACATGGGTCACATGGGTCACACAGTGTAAAAATGTCTTCGGGTCACATGGGTCACATGAGAGTCACATGAGTCACACAGTTCAAAACTTGTTTGCACGATTCTATTTGATTTTCCGCTGATTTCCACGAGATTTGAAGCAGTTTCACAAATTATCGAAGAGAGAGCAAACAAATCGGATAAATGAAGCAAATGTGAGGATACAGAGACCAAATCTGAAGGGAGAGCAAGCAAATCAGAAGAGATACAGAGCAAATCGATGGAGAGAGAGAGCAAATCGGCGGCGGCGGAGAGAGAGTAAAAATCGGAGGAGAGAGAGCAAGATACGAGAGAGCAAACGAAGGGAGAGAGCAAACGGAGGAGAGAGAAAGTGCAAATGTTGGAGGAGAGAGAATCAGAAGAGATACAAAGCAAATCGATGGAGAGAGAGCAAATCGGCGGCGGCGGAGAGAGAGTGAAAATCGGAGGAGAGAGAGCAAGATAGAGAGAGAGAGCAAACAGAGAGAGAGAGCAAATGGAGGAGAGAGAAAGCACAAATGCTGGAGGAAAGAGAATAAAAAATGTCGGAGGAGAGATAAAAAAACTGATAATGAGGAGAGAGAAACCAATGCTGCTTTTTAGGAAAGAAATTATTATTTTTATTTTAATTTTATTTGTTTTATAACATAAAGGTATAATAGATATTGTACATATGGAAATAGTATATCTGAAGTGGGTATTTTTTTTCTGAGGGAAGGGTAATCCATAAAATACAAGTAATTAAGGTCATTTCTATAAAACCACATAAAAATATAATTTTCTTAAAATTTATTTTTTTTATCTTAATGTTATTTTAGAATAAAAAATAATTTTACCTTATTTTTATTTGAGTTGGAGATCGAGACCCTTAGCTCTGGAGGTATTTAATATGTGTATAAAATACCTAAAAAATTTTGAATTTATAATTTGTATAATATTAATTTTTGAATGATGCTTTTATTTATTTTTGAATTTACAATTTTAAACATAATAATTTTAAAATTTGTATTTTTAAATATATTAATTCTTAAATTTTGCTGAGTGAATTAGTAATATAACATGGACGATTATAGAATTTTAGTAATTATTGTGTTGAAAAAATAGAGTTTCATGAATAAATAATAGGTACTCGGTTAATAAATTAATATTTAAATTAAGTTAATATTTTCATCGGCTTCGAAACGACATCGATTCCCGCGTTTCGGTGCCCTAGTATAAATACACCGGCTCCAGCGACGAGATTCGGCGGTGGCGCTTTAATTCTCGTTTGGAAGCTCCTTCGCTGCTGCATCGGACATGGCATCTTCGAAGCGGAAGCGCGACGCGATAGCCTCGGAGGAAGATAACCTAAACGGCGCAGAAAGTGGCGGTGGTAGTGATAAGAGCATCGCCGGCAACAGTTTCTTCGATATCTATGGACCTGATGTAATATTCGCGACTTTGATGTCTGTAGCTTATGTTCCGTTTCGTTACTCGTCAACTCTTTGAATTCAAACCATACTCTTTTCCTAGATTGTGTTCTGTCTGATCGATGGTTTGGCTTTGAAATCTGTGTACTTCAGTTGGTTAATGCATTTTGCGGAAGAGTGTTGTGTGTCTGATGTAGTTTCTTTTTGGCAGGCTAAAGCGGAGATTGAGTTCAAACAGCCGGAATCGACGTTGAATCTACAAGTAGGTTTTTTTCTTTTGTATGACTTGAAGGGTCCTGTAATGGCCGTTTTGTTTGAAGTTTTTTTTTTTTATATATAATATCGGAATTGGGCATTTTGTGGTTGAACAGGACGTTCAGGGACTTGTGACTTGGGTTCTTGCTGAAGGGTATATGCCATCATGGGCATTTATCAAGGTATACAAAGATTATTCAATCTCAGAGGTTTTGCTTTCTTGTGATGATTCTGTTGGGTTTTTTTATTGTATAATCGATCATGATGTAGTTAATTAGTTATTGTGCCATTTGTATCGGGCGTCGTAGCTGTAGTTCCCTTATATGTTCTCTTCTCGTTTATGGCTTCCTTGATTTGAAGTTGAGAAGGAACACTTTTTGGACCTTTATGTGGTATCTATCGATATGGTTTGCAGAACAAGCCTCTCATTCCAAAGGTTGTCCTGCTCTACCTTCCTGGATTGGACGCGGCTTTGTATTTATCACAGTCTAAATTACTTTCCAGTTTCAAAACATGTCTTGGCAGACCTAGACCCCTTTTAGCTTTGAGGTTGGTGATCTCTCTTTTTTTTAGCGCTATTGCTTGTGAAATGGTTCTAAGCATCTTTTATTGTTCTAGTTGTGTATTAGATGAGATGAAGACAATCGATGCTATCCTCACGTGCAAGGTTAAAAGGAAGAGAAATATTTCTGGTTCAGAAGAAAAACATCTCCAAGCATCTGAGCCAGGTTGAAATGCTTATGAACTTGAACCACTGCATTGGGAAAATCATCTTTAGATGAAACATTTATGCCTTTCGTGAACTTAATAATAACTTGTTTACATGTAGAACCATGCAATGCTATGCAGATTTTTTCCTTTACGGAACTCACAAAGGATATACCTTTTCCTATCACGTACTATACTTTAAGTCGAAAGGAAATGGAAAACAATGGATACATTCTTGATAAACCAGGTACAGGCTCCTCCTGATCTATTTTGTGCCAACCATTTTGTTGTGTTTGACCTTTCCGCCTTTACCTTCAGGGTCAAATCAATTACCGGTTAACTTTTCATCTACAGATTTTTTCCCTACTCTTCCTGCGCCATCAGGGTCCTCTCCCCATGAGATTTTGGCTCTTGACTGTGAGATGGTAGGATACAAGTATTTCTGGCTTTTCATGATGTGATTGTTTTAGAATGTTTAGGTTCTCCAAACACGTGTTGTTTTTATTTATTTTGTTTGGCAAATTTTGAGAGATTTTCCTGTATTTTGTCCAGTGTATTACAAAGGAAGGCTTTGAGTTGACAAGGGTGACGTTGGCAGATGTCAGAGGACAGGTTTGCTACCCCTGACTTCTTTTAATTCTGACATTTCTCCATTGCTGGTGCCTTGTTGAATATATCTTTTAACCGAGTTGGCATGCTCTTGCAGGTTCTATTAGATAAACTAGTCAAGCCATCAAATCCCATTACTGATTATAACACAACGTAAGCCATGCTTGGTATTTCGTTAGACTCCCTATTGATGGTTTAGAAACTGCTTTTGTGTTTATGAAATTCAAGTTCGATAGAACTTTTTAAGTTTCTAGTGGAACATCTCAAAGAACATATGCTTAGAACAGGGTATTGGTTCTGCAGGTTTAGCGGAATAACAGCTGAGATGATGGAGGGAGTGACTACAACTCTTAAAGATATTCAGGTTCCATATGTTTGCATTACTTTTACCTGATGCCGCGTTCGGAGTCGGTTTTACTTGAAGACCGTACTATCTATTTTAATTGCAGTTGCTTGCTATGTTCAGGAAGAGTTTTTGAAGCTGGTTTCCAAAGAGACGATCTTAGTTGGACACTCCTTGGAAAATGACTTGTTTTCTCTGAAGATCTCTCATGATATGGTGATTGACACTGCGGTACTATACAAGCATCCCCGCTGTGGGTCCTTCAAAACTAAGCTGCGGGTTTTAGCAAAAAAGTTTCTTTCTAGAGAGATACAAGTGTATGGAAATGGTCACGACAGCATTGAGGACGCAAGAGCTGCCATGGATTTGGCACTCTTGAAGATAAGACATGGCAAGTGATTCCTGTTCTTCATATTGTCATTAGGTTTTGGTATAAATTTTGATTAGTGATTGGGCTTTTTTCTTTTGGGGCTTCTAACAGGACCTGATTTTGGTTCGCCACCAGAAATGGTACGGAAAAGGCTCCTCACTGTTTTGTCTGAAAGCGGGAAAACCACTTCTATCATTGACAATATTAACATTGTAAAACGATTTGCTTCTGAGTCATCAAACTCAATTCCAGTTTCTTCTGATGACGAAGCAATTTCAAAGGCCGTCAAGGAGGTAAAACCTTCAAACCCCTCGAGATTATTTTTGTTGACTTTACTCTCTTGCCTTATGTATCCTATGTACTTGTAGACGAAGAACAACAGGTCGCAATTCATTTGGACCCAGTTCTCAGAACTGAATGCCCATTTCCAGAGAAAGGCGGATAATTCAGAGAAACTAAACACAAGATTAGCGGAGTTAATCTCGTTACTCACGTGTAACGACAAATCTAACCCCAAGAAAAGCCGCAAAAGCAGTGTTTCGTCTGAGACAAAGGAAATCTTGAAACGAATGGACGCTAGAGTCCATGCCCTTTACACTGCATTACCCACAAATGCCATGTTTATTGTCTGCACCGGACATGGAGACACAGCTATTGTGCACAGGTTAGTGTCGTTACCTTTCTTACTCGAACGGTTCCAGCATCTGCAACATTAGAGGTAGAATACAAACTTGATTTTAATATCTTCATTTAGGGGATTTAGTTTCTCTTCTGTGATGTAATCATTTATCTTACTTCCTAGAGTACGGAAAATGCTGAGAGAACAGAAGGAAACCGAGCTTTGCCGGGAGAAGATCGTGAAGGTTCTAGAAGAACTTCAAGCACAAGCTGAGGTAGCTCTCTGTTTTGTAGGCATCAAGAAATGAGCATAGGCAAACACATTCTAAATTAAGGATGGACGTTTCGGGAATCGGTTCAGAATTTCAATACAATTATTATTCACCGAATTATAAAATCATGTTCAAATATTTTATACATTATGCTATTTTTTCTCAGAAGTTTTTGTAAAAGAGTAATATCAATTTTATTAAATGTTGAATTTTTTTATTGAACTCGGTTAGATAAAGATATTGAATATCTCATATGAGATTGTCACATTAACATTAGTCATAGACTGAATCACATGTAATAGTTCGTTTTAGATCTTCATACCTTAGATACTTATAGTATCAAGCGTGAGAAGTAGCATGTTCTTGTTGGTTTTAATGCTCTAGGATACTCCGTGATATGACATTTTGACTATGTGATGACTCGTTGCTTTATGAATGCATTACATTACCGTTATATGATTGGCATGTTTGTTATATTGCGGTTATCCTTGAATCATCATAAAATGATTCTAAACACCCTGGTCAGTTATCATTGTGGGAACAATGATGAATTAAGACTAGCATGAGGTGTGATTGATGCATTGGATGCATATCACAATCATGGGTACTCGTTGTGAACGAGTGACTGGTTGACCCGCATGAGATTGTCACATGGACAGAGTCATGACTTGAATCTCATACAGCGGTTCGTTCTTGGATCCTCAGACCTGAGATGTCTAGAGTATCTGATATGAGGAGTGGCGTATCTTGACTGCGTCAAACGTCGTCTTTAACCGGATGATTATAACGGCGTTGATCAGATACGTTCACGAATCATATGGAGATAGTAGACATGCAATACGGGATTTGTCACCTCCTTAACAGGAGAGATATCGCTGGGCCCTCTCGTGGAAGTCGGACTATGAAAACGCGTGGCCACGCTATAGATGAAGTTGCATCTATTTTATTAGTCGATTTGCCAAGACGAGAAAGCAGTTGAACTTAAAGGGTGGCTCAAACCATGCCCTTGTTCAACACATGATATCGTGAGATAAAGGATCAGAACTCGAGCTGTTATTGCCTTGGTTAGATCACCTCTAACTCAATCCAACGTGGGTGGTCATGGCGTCTTGCTAGAGGCTAAACCATGACTTGTGGTTCGGAAAAGGTTCCTAAAGTCACTACCACTTAGAATGGGCCTACAGGGTCACACACCAATAGGGATGGACTTATACGTGAAGAATACGAAGAATGGAAACGAGATTTGACCGAAACGAGCACGAAAAGGAGTTTTCAGTGCGTTGGTCCGGAGCTGACCAAGTTTGGTCAGCCCCGGACCAAGTTTGGTCAGTCCAGGCAGTCCGGAAGAGCAGTCCGAGGTCACCTGTCCAGGTCTGATCCGCCATACACCAAGAACAAATCCTTAGTCCTTCTCAAGTACTTAAGGATGTTCTTGAAGTCATCTCTGTCGGTTTGGAAACTCACCTGGTGTAGATTGATATCTACTAGTCATGCTCAATGCATATGATACATCTCGACGAGTACACAACATGGCGTACATGATGGATCCAATTGCCGAGGCATATGGAATCCTACTCATGCGCTCTTGCTCATCCTGTGTCTTTGGACACTGAGTCTTGCTAAGAGCAACGTCATGTCCCATTGGCAAGGCACCCCTCTTGGAGTCTTGCATCTTGAACCGATTCAAGACCTTGTCAATGTATGTACTCTGACTTAGACCAAGAAGCCTTCTCGATCTATCTCTATAGATCTTGATTCCTAGAATATAGGCGGCTTCTCCTAAGTCCTTCATCGAAAAGACTGATCCTAGCCAGGATTTTACTCCTTGCAAGGTAGGAATATCATTTCCGATGAGCAATATATCATCTACATAAAGCACAAGGAAGACCACTGCGCTCCCACTGACCTTCTTGTAAACGCATGGCTCATCTTCGTTTTGCAGGAAGCCAAACGTTTTAACTGCCTCGTCAAATCGAAGATTCCAACTCCTCGAAGCCTGCTTCAGTCCATAAATGGATCTCTGAAGCTTACACACCTTCCTCGGACTCTTAGGATCGACAAAACCCTCGGGTTGTGTCATGTACACATCCTCGAGCAAATTCCCGTTAAGGAATGCGGTCTTGACGTCCATCTGCCATATCTCGTAGTCATAATACGCAGCTATGGCCAGCAGAATCCGTATGGATTTAAGCATCACAACTGGTGAAAAGGTTTCATCATAGTCTATACCATGAATCTGCCGAAACCCTTTCGCTACGAGTCGTGCCTTATAGGTATGCACGATGCCATCCATGTCGGTTTTCTTCTTGAAAACCCACTTACATCCAATGGTCTTAATACCATCGAATGAATCGACCAAAGTCCACACTTTGTTGTCGTACATGGATTG